GATCAGTTTATTGGCAGTTAATGATGGTCAAGCAGTCAGAGCCAAAAGCAAACAAACCCGCCTTCCTCTCCGTTATCCTTCTACCACCTACATGAGTGGTGCGAGGTGATGGGAATGCGGTCAGTCTGTGATGCTTTGTTTCTGCTGCTCCTTCATCCTCATTCTTCCCCTGCTCCACATGAGTTCCTCCTGTTGATGCCATCTTTACCAAACTGATCCCACGTGGGCTTCCGCAGAGGCACAGGGCAGCTCCTCAACCTCCTAATGCATGGAGCTCGGTGTCTGTGGGGCAGTTTGTCTGACGTCTTCTGACCAGTCCCACTGATGCTGCTCAACGGCGTGGTTTTTGTTTTCTTTTTTTCCCTTTCTTTTAAATATCTTATCCTGGAGGCACAGCCAACAAAGTCTCTGCGGTTCCATCTGGAGCTGGCTCTTACCTAACACACCGACCTGCCTGGGCTCTTGCCAAATTCACCCCTGCAGCCCTCCTGCTGCCAAAACCTCACCACATAAAGCCAGTGCAGTTGAAGATCAGGAAACATTTAATAGATCAAGGACGTCTTTTGTTTTCTTTCAGTTAGTTTTTAGAGGGTTGTATGTTGCTAACACTGAAAAACTTACAGAAAGTATAAGAAGAAAATCACACTTCAGGAGATAAACGTGACCATTTTTCCAGTAAGTCTGTTGAAAAAGTAATACTCCCAAAGTAACTGTAAATGCAGCTGTGTGTATGCAGCCATCTCCGACAAAATATCAGAGGTATCCCACAGTGTCCCAGTACTTCGTGGTCAGAACTCTTTGTGGGAGGCACTTCATTGCTGGTGATGAGCTGTAGAAGGCAATCAAAATGGCTCCAACAGTGGGAGTATAAGTAGGATGGAATGTGAACTCTGGACCAGATTTTTGCTTAAATTCTCTAGAGAGTGGGAAATACTTAAGGGAGAAAAATCTGGGCAAAGAAATAATGAAAAAGCTTTTCTTTCTGTCATTCTTTTGTTGGTTTTTTTTTTTTAATTCCTTTCTCCTCCCCCTCTTAAATCTGAATGCTGTCTTTTATTCTAATTGTGAGAACACAGAATTACTTTGGTGTTCCATCACTAGCTGGATAGTGATTAAAACAGGGCTTAGCAGGGTAGAGATTCAAATCATAGTGAGGGAAACAGACTGTTTAAATAATTTTGTCTGTTAGGTAACGGGAATAGAAATGACTGTGACTTTGGTAATGTATTTCTTTCCTTCAGGCAGGCTGGTTATTGCATTTCTTGAGGCATTCACGTACATAGGTTGCTGTGAAAGTAATGCCTCCTGGTTATTTTCATGGAAACTACAACAGGGGGTCTGTAGGGGTCTCCAGAGACAGAAACATCAGTAGTGACAGTTGCCCTCTTTTGTTTAAGGGCACGTTTTACTTTTTTAAACTCAAGCTTTTGATTGAAGAGGGATTTTTATAAAGACAAAATAGAGAATGCACTTGAAGTCTGTTCTGTATTAAGAAGAAGAAGAAGCTCAGAACAGAGGGTCACTTCTGACTGCTTTCGGTCAACTGCAAGTAATTTATTTGTTTAAATAAATTCTTAAATTAAATCTGCCTCTGTTATCATTTTGTGAATGCCTTCGTTGTTCCGGACGCAGAGCTGTTGCTGGCAGAGCACGTCTGACAGTAAATAGCAGCAGTGTCAGAGCTGAAGGTAGAAGCACTGAAAATATGAGTCTCCATTGAAGCACTGGGCCTAATTAGCATAATGTTACAAACTCCATTTGTAACCGTGTATCTAATGGTTCAAAAACAGCCATGGGAGCTGCTGCTCCTTTCATCGTACTATAGACTAGCTACATTCAAGTAAGCAGGCATTCATCATCATCTTATGTATGGCGTTATACAAATCATATAGACAAATTTTAGTCTCTAGTAAAGCAACAATAGCCACAAGTCACCAGATCTCTATTTGAATGGCTTTCTTTATATAATTTTTTACGGTTTCTGGTTGTTTGGTGTTTTCTCTTTTGTTGTTGGTTTTTTTTTTTTGCTTTAAGAATGCTGCTACACGGTGTTTGTTTCTATACAGAGAATAGCACATGAATTAACACAAGGCTTTTTAATTTCGATGTTGTTTTCTAGACAGATCTGTTTTTGCCTAACATTGTAATCAGTCTAAAGCATAACCAGATATTTTGGTATTAAAATATCATGCCAGATACTAGTAATCAAATACAAAAAATCCTATCTTACTTAATGAGTAAACATTTTTGAAAAAGATGTTTAACAAATCGTTGACATGGAAGATACTTATATCATAGGGTCACCAAGGTTGTAAAAGACCTCCAAGACCATCCAGTCCAACCATCCACCTTCCACCAGCGTTTCCCCACGAAGCCACGTCCCTTAGTATCACCTCTGAATGTTCCTTGAGCACCTGCAGGGACACCACCTCCCTGGGCAGCCCGTTCCAGTGCCTAACTGCTCTTTTGAGAAGAAACTTCTCCTCATGTCCAACCTGAATCTCCCCTGGTGCAGCTGGAGGCCGTTCCTCCAGCCTCAGCACAGCACAGTGACAGGAAGCCTCGTCCCAGGAGGTAGCTGAGTGTACAACTGATGGCTCATATTTTAGAGATGATCCATCATGTCTTCATCATATTGTATTACTGATACTGATTATGCTACCTATCTCAAAGAAGTAGATGTTGGAGGACACTGATTTTCTGTAATAGCAAAGTGAGTTGTATGTTTGTATGACATGCATTATTTGTGAGTTGTAATATTAGATTATAATATATGTATTTTTTGTCACTGTGTAGTGCAGGGTTTACTTAGAAATTCTCTTTGTTATTCCAGCATGTAGTTTAGTTTTTAAAATTTGCCATAGGAATGCCTATGTATGTCTCATTACAGAATTCTATAATTGGTTTCGTAATCATATTGCTCAGGAAATGAAAGTTTCATGCTGGTGAAGATCAGCACATGGGCATTCTGTGTGTCTGTAGATGAAAGGAGAGATGTCTGGTTTATTAAGAAAAAAGGCTTCAGCGTTTTGGTTTTGCACAGTAAATGCAATGCTTGTGTTTCCTTTCAGTACTTAGGCATTATACTGTCTAAAGCAGCAATGCAAAGACTTTTTGGCTCTGACGCATCTGCGCTCTGTGCTATGCAGAAAGCTGAAATGTACATTTTATTGAGGAAATAATTTAGTAAATGATGACATCTTCCACAGGTAAATGTCCCATTAGACAAGAATGAAAAATCAGTATACAGCAGATAGTTTATATTTCAGACTGAGACTTGGCAGAGGAAATCTTATTTAACATCTTTGCATAACTTGTACTGTGGGAGGGCTATAGAGGAAGAAAGATTTGCCAGCTGTGAAATGTAAGGACAGTTTACGGTCACAACAGCACAGGCTACAGAAGCAGTAGAAGTGCTGGCAGCGTAACGGCTTACTGTGAGCAAACCATCCTGCATGGCACGGGAGGCTCTGCACCGTGCTGGTGCGAGACATTTTATTCCGTGTCAAGTTGGAAAAGCTGAATTCTGTCTGAGAGCTACCAATGTAATGCTTTACAAACACTAGACTGAAGCATGCATTGCTGCAGTGTTCAGCTGTCTAACTAGGCTGTTTGCTGCAATAACATGGACTCTTTACTTTGTAGGAGTTGCACAGAAAAGGGGGTTCATTTTGCTCTATTTAGTTGGATGTAGTAGACACAAATGCTAGTTCATAAATCATCAGAGCAGTGTCTGTGTTCAGTAAACAATGCCCACAACTTTTTGTGTTTTCTCTGTGTTTCTGTATCTTTTAAAAATGTACATAATAAAAGTTTTTTCCTCCCTAATGGGAAAGGCAGATCCCGTCTGTTACAGAAAGCAGTTCCACATCATTTCTTTTGAGACTGTGCTTTACGGGTGCCTCGGGAAGGTTGTGGCTGTTTTAATGGAAGCTGAAATTGCAAGTATGGGCGTCACTGGGTGGCACGCCTTTGTAAACAGCACCAAAGAAGCTGAAAGTGACTCTTTGAATTTTCCCTGACTTTGTGTTTGTCACAATTAGTGTTTTTCTTTTATCTTCGTTATGTTCAAAAAACAAACTGGAAATATTATTCTTTTGCAATTTAGCTTTTTACATAGGAAGGCAGCTCGCCCTACCCACTTTTCCATGTCATACTTGTTGGAAGTGCTCCAGAAATGCCTGTTAGAAACACTTGCAGCACACTGCTGTGGGATATTGAGGCAATTCAGTACACTGCTTTTAAAGAAAAGCAGAAAAAAAGATTTAATTGCCCGAATCTAACCACTTTGAGAATACTTAAAACTACTACAGTATCATGTTTGATATGATTAAAGTATCGCGTACATTTATCCAAAAATATGCATCAAAACTAGCTGACCTGTGCTCTCCATATCAGGAAAATGCAGAGCTTGCAAAGTATTGTCTGACTAGTAAACTCTACACATTTTCAGGAGTACATCTCTTAAAATATTGTTTTCATTCCACTGACAGTCTGTGGGAAAGCTTTGTACACCTGATTTCACCAGTTATAAATAAAGGGGAAAATGGCGTCGTTGTTCTAGAATACAGAGCGATTCTTGATAGAAGAATCAGACCAGAAGGGTTTAGCTTGCAGCTCCACAGAGGTACTTCACTCACTTGTTGCTGCCAAACAAGAAGTTTCTCAGTGTGTGACTGTGAGATGCAGTTGTTGGCTCTTGAGTATCAGCAACTTTATGTTGTCAACACTGTGGATAGATGCAGTGTTAGGATGCATGTTAACTTCATCACATGGTAAAAGGGACACCCTCCAATTTCTTAAGCTTGAGGAAAAACAACTTTGATCCTGACTACTGAAACCAGGTAGTTGTTTTGGTGAGTTACTGCTAATGCCTGCACAGAATTGAGTAAATGGGGGTGTATGGAAGATGTTCTTCAAAGATTGTTGTTAACAACCCTTATGTATAGATTTTATTTTTAATAAGGACATGATTTTATGTTGTTTCATTTTAAATGCAGGTGAACCAAGGAAATTTGACCCAAAGTTCAGAGGACCTATTCATAACAGGTAAATATCTTAAGTCATTCTGTTTTATTCTGTTAGTGTTGCAGTGAGCAAGGGAAAAAAAATTGATTGATAAAACATATGAATTTGATACTGAAGTTCCCTAATCCAAAAGGCTTCCCACACTTACGTGCGTGCTTTTAAGTTCTTTCAATGTGAATGCCAGTTTTGTGAACTTTACATCGTTTGTATCGTATCGTGCAATCATAGAAAGGCTTAGATTGGGCTAGTCTTTAAAGATCATCTAGTTCCAAACCACCTGACATGGGCAGAGTTGCCAGTCACCAGCTCAGGCTGCCCAGAGTCCCATCCATGGCCTTGAGCACCTGGGATGGAGCACCCACAGCTCTGGGCAGCCGTACCAGTGCCCCATCAGCTCTGGGTTAAGAGCTTCCTCCTCACAAATGGCGTAAGTCTCCCTTCTTTAAGTTTAGAGCCATTCCCCCTTGTCCTATTACTATGAGACCAAGTAAAAAGTCACTTCCCTCATGTTTATAAACTCCCTTGGAGTTTATAATGTGTTGGAAGTTTATAAAGTTTGTAAAGTACTGGAAGGCTGCAATGAGGTCTCCCCAGATCCACCTCTTCTCCAGACTGAACACTTCCAACTCTCTGTCTGTCTCCATGGGAGAAGTACTGCAGCCTCTGAGCATCCCATGGCCTCCTCAGGACCTGCTCCCATAGCCCCGTCTTGTGCTGGGGGCCCCAGATCTGGACACAGTACTCCGGATGGAGCCTTGCAGGGGCAGAGTTGAGAGGGTGTATCTGTGGCACAGGGCTCAGAAGTGGTTGATCTTTAGAGGTCCCAAACCATTCTGTGCTGTGGCTTGCTGTTAGTAATGCACAGTTGCTGTGACGATGACTGCACTTTCAGGTATGTATGTGCTGTTTTAATTGTACATTCTACATTCTACAGCAGCTTCTTAAGAGCAAAGTAAAGTAAAAACTGACCCGTAACTGGTATACGACATATGTTAAGTGCATTTTTAATGTCTGGTGAGACAGTGTTCTTGGAAACAGTTCACTAAACACTGAAGGTGTTGCTCCACTGTACAGTATGCCATCTGGCACTGATTCCTAAAATGTTGCTTAGAGAGCTTACTTTGCAGTAAGGTGCACCTGCGTTCAGATTCAACTTATTGCTGCTGCAAGATCCCCAAATGACTTGTCTAACCACGTGGAGTCATCAGTGCACTCAGCGCAGTACATGAACCCCTGAAGCAGTTTTAGACTTTTTTAAGACAATTAATGTTTCTTTTTACTTTCCTTTTCCCAATTAAGTAAAATAAAGTAAATAAGGATGTATGGAAACTGCTGAGTCACGGCCTGAACCTCTGATTGATCACCTGAGGCGAGCCATGAGTCCGCCAGAGGAGCACAGGTGAAGGCAATTCAGCTGTGCTGCTGGAAGGGGTGGAGCCTGGCTCCCCCCCCCCCCTAGACCTATTTAAGAGCTGGCTGCCAGTGGGGAAGGATCTCTTCTGGAGATCCCTCCTTCTGCTGTCTTGTGGTGAGCCCAGCGTAAGGGTAAGCCTTCCATTTTTTCTCTCTTGTTATCCTAGTCCACTTCGCCAAACTCTCTTGTTTATTTTGTGATTGTAACATCTTGATATCCATCAATTATACATAAGGATTAGCTAGTTTTGATGAGTAAAATGCTTTCTCAGAATATATATTCCCGAGAGTTGAAGAAGAGAAAAATCATCTTCTGTACTGAATTTGCTTCTGACTTTGAGATTTCTGTAGGAGGAGAGGCATTAGAGTGTTTAACCCCCAGACAGCTTAGCACCACACAATCACTCACTCACTTCCCACAGCAAGGCAGAAGAGAGAATCTGACAGCTAGAAGTTGAGAACTTGTGGTTTGAGATGAAAACAGTTTGTTAAGTACTGCAAAAGCTGCACGCGCACACAAGACAAAACAAAGGCATTGGTAACATCCTCTTTTCCTTCCTCCCCCTTTTTCACTGCATCAAACAGTGTAGGATGTCTGTATGGGAACTGCTGAGTCACGGCCTGAACCTCTGATTGATCACCTGAGGTGAGCCATGAGTCAGCCAGAGGAGCACAGGCGAAGGCAATTCACCTGTGCTGCCGGAAGGGGTGGAGCCAAGCTGCACCCCTCCTGGACCTATTTAAGAGCTGGCTACCAGAGGGGAAGGATCTCTTCTGGAGATCCCCTCTTTTGGTGTCTTCTGGTGAGCTCATCCCAAGAGTAAGCTCTTCCACTTATTCTCTTTTTGTGATCGTTTTCTGCTTTGCCTTACTCTCTTGATTATATTGCGATTATAACATCTTGATATCTATTGATTATACACAATTATATTGTGATTATAACATCTTGGTTATACAGATGTCCCTTTCATCAGTTGGGGTCAGTGGCCCCTGCTCATTTCTTGTGTGCCTCCGGCCTCATCTGTAGCAGACCCTGAGAAGCTGAGATGTCTTTGATTCTTTAAGCACTACTCAGCAGCAGCCAAAGCATCTATGTGCTCTCATTGCAATTTTTCACCATAAATCTGAAACGCAACATCATACAGACCTCTATGGCTTAAATATCCCAGCCAAATCCAGGGCAACTAGGTGTGTATGGTGTGGGTGCGGATAAACCTATCTTTGCTTTCAGCTGATAAAATAAATTGAGCTGCTCTTAACCTCACTGCCAACTTTCTGTAATCAGGGACTAAATTTCTCTTCAGTTTTGAAAATGAAGAGGGATATCAAGGGGGCAGGCTGCAAGCTGTGTATGTCAGTGATGGAAGGTGCATGGAGAACAGTTACATCCTTCCTAGTGGCTGCTGAAGTTAATGTACTTTTCAAGGTACAGTGGAGTATAAATGTTCACAATTTGTTGAGCACCAAATGATCCTCCAAACCGCTAAAGATCTGAAAACTTGAGGAACAGAAAGCTAAGTCTTACTCTGCAAGGAGAAACACTTATATGGACTGCACTGATTTTTCTTTCTGAAGAGAACAGAGCTGTTGCCAGTGGTTGAAGTACTGAGCAATGGGGTTAATAGGAGTGTTCAGTGAGGCAGTACGTATGGTACATTGCTGGTACCATAATTCTGAAGGGTTTGTGTGTGAAGTTTGGTTATATTTCATGCAAACATTTTATTAAAATGGGATTAATGCAGTGGCTGTGAGGGAGGCAACTGTCTCCCTCTACTCTGCCCTCACGAGGCCCCATTTGGAGCACTATGTCAGATTCTAGATCTGGGGCCCCCAGCACATTTAAGACATGCTGGGAACTATACAAGAGTTTGTGTCCTATAAATGTTCTGTGAAGAACAGAACGTCCTGCATTCTGGTTGTTTATGGATACTTGTTCGTGATGGGTCTGCAAAACTTCAAAGTAAGATCCAGCACAAACAAATGTAACTGTTAATTGTATTTAGTTATTGTAAAATGAGACCTCTGAGAAATACACTTGAAGAGATTTTTGAGACACTATAAGTTGTAATTAGAATATTTATGGTGGCTCATTTCTCCTGAGATTTCTTCTATTAAATCTTCCGTCTCTTAAAAATTTCTCTTATGGGGTGAGAGCCAAGCTTCTACAGAGTGTCTGAACAAGGCAGTTGTCCTTGATTAGGTAACTGTTGTACTGACCCTGAATCTGTACCGGCTTTGCCTTACTGCATGTTTATTTCAGTGAGATGGTGAAACTATCTCCCTACAGATACAGGATTTTTCATTTATTTTCCATACCTGAAAACACTTCCAAAGTTCTGCAGTTGTTTCAAATGTCAGCTCCTTTATACTACAGAATAATGGTTATTTATAAGAGGAGAACATAGATTGGAAAATGGAAAGAATGATAGACACTAAAAATTACTGTTTTTCATTGGAGATTGCATTATGAGATTTCTTTTCATGCTCAGGCTTCAGCTTGCATTCTCTTGGCTCCTTGCATAGACTTGCAAGGAGAGCTGAACACTGCTGTGTTTATGAAGGCAATCCTTTACTTTCACTTTATAATGAAGCACGCGTTACACTTTCTGGAGTGACTGTTGCTCAGTCTTATGGAAAACTGGAATACACTTTGATCAGGTCAGTACAGAAGCCATTTATTATTACCAGGGGAGAACGGAGAGCAGCAGCCTCTGCAGACAGAACTTGCCCAGGCAGGGTAGCTGCCAAGTTTGCATACCTTTAGGCTATCCATAATGCTCGTCACCAAAACTGTGCCAAACAGTAAGTTGTCAGTAACAGAGATCGAAGTATTTCAGATGAGGGAGATGAAGATAGTATATCCTTCTGTGAATAATGTGCTTCTTTGCTAATGGAATAATGTAGACTCATGAGACAGAAATCGCGAATACTTCTTAATGAGTGAGACCTGCAGAGTCTTATGAGAAATGAACTGGAATGCTGCTGCATGTCTTCAGAAGCAAGGGCTTGTGATGTTAGCTTCTGAAGGAGAAAATTGCTCACCAGGACCTGTTGTCTCCGTAAGTGCATGCTTGCCTTTCTCCTACCCTCTTAGGGGTTCATGTTTCCTATTAATTACATTGTTGGAATGCCTCTAATCAAGGTCCGACACTGGAGAAAAATGTGTGTTAGTCCACATCTCTGTTTCTCTGCCTGCACAAGCTGAATAGATAGGCAATAAAGAGAAGACATTGAGTTGGATACTTGCATCTTAGTTTTCAGTCCAGAGAATGCTGTTCTTTGCTTGTCTGCAAATGCAGATACGCCTCTCCACAAGTCTTTTTTTCTCCTTCTGTAGAGCTTACTTTGATTGCACTAGGTGAGGTCAAGCAGCTGGATGAGAATTTCCTGCACAGATTGGATAGTTGCAGATGGGCTGTATTTCTTAGTTTCACTGTTGTTTTTCCGTTCATAACCTGCTTATAATGCAGGTAAGCTGTATTGAGTCATCATCTGAAGACATTGTTTCTATAACTTGATACCAGTTTTAAAGGACACACTGAGGATGTTTGTAAGCGTCTTGCAGTGAAAGCAGGACCTTAGCATCTCAAATGTGACTTAGTGGAAGACTTCAGAAAACAGTAAGTGCAGATGCAGCTATGTTTATGTGGTATATTCAGATGTGGGAAGAGTGGGACATTCGATGTTTTCAAAGGATTGTATTAGACCCCTTATTTTTAAACTGTTCCTTTCTGTTCCTAGGCATTGTACAGATGTTATTTGCTGTGTAATCTTCATAGTTGTCATTCTGGGTTACATTGCATTAGGAATTGTAGGTAAGTACACACAGGTATAGTATACAGTAGTGCATTCTCATGCCAATGATGAGCAACTCTGAATACTTTTAACTGGCATGTCGTTCTGCTTATACCTACATAAAGCTTTCAGATCAATAAGCACTGCCTTGCCTAGAATCAAATTGTGAATTAACATTCAGTGTCTGCTGTAATTAGAGAGAAGTTCAAAAAGATGTGTTTACTGATGAAATGTTTGAAATCTTGAAATGAAATGTGTCCAAAAACAAAGATGATTTGATAATTTTACAATCATAGTAACTGTTGTGGAAAAATCCTTTCATTTGTCATTAATCTGACAACAAAAGTTAGAACTGAATACTTTGATATTTAAGAGGGTTTTTGTTCTGAAGATTATCAAAGGAACGTATGTGAGCAGTGAGTAGTGATAACTTCATTTAGTTTGGGATCCAGAGTTACTTGTGCATCAGAACATTTATTAATCCACAATAATCCTTTTATTTTGTGTGAGAGAATTGCATAACTGCATGTGTGCCTAAACTTTTTCGGTTTACTTGTAAAACATCATTTTAGCTCTGCCTTAGATTTAAGAAAAGCTGTTAGTTTTCTTCACTATTCTGTATTATCATTTTCTGTTCAGTACAGAGAAGAGGTTGCACAGTCTTAATTCTTGGGGACATTGAAAGCTGTTTGGATATGGTCCTAGGCAACCTGTTCTAGGTGTCTGTGCTGTTGTCCTCTTTCTGTCTGATTGATTCTTCATTGATGTTCTGCTCTGCCCTTCTGTCAGGATTCAAACACAAAGCCAAAACTGAAGGGGCTGGACTCAGATCAGAGGATCATTTGTTGTTTTCTTGAAGGTACAAATGCTTTAGTGGCTGATGGCCTGCTTTTGTGCAGACAGGCGATGTTCTGGAGTGCTTGTATCTGGACAAACAGAAAGGAAATGCTGGAAGTCTCTAGCTGAATCGTGTTCTTGTGCTATGAAGTCTTGGCTTCCTTTTTGGTGCTATATGAACCTCTAATTCTTTGGCTAGAACCTTGTCAACTTCACGTGTGCTGATTCCAAGGAATCCCATATACTGTATGTTGAAGAACAGAACGGATGACTGGCCAATTTTCTGCATGTGAATTAGTCGTTTTCTCTGCGCTGCACATGTAGGAGTTTCCTACTAGACACAAAACATCTGAACAACCTTCTTCTGCAAACCTTATGAAATATTGGTTAGAAATAGAACCTATTCCCTGGACAGATACCAAATTTGTAGCTGGTGACTCTTTCTTCATTTCTTACAGAGAAGATTCAAATTCTCAATCTAGAAACGTGTATCTCTGCTCCAAATCCAGATCCACATGATGCCTGCTTTTTAAATTTTGTAATACATTGCTTCAGCTATTCTTTTTACACTGATTTATTTTGAAGTAAAAGGTGTAATCAGCTTTGGCTCAGCTCCAGGTATCAGCCCTGTGCAGAATGCATGCATGTAAATAAATTTTACATTAAGAAAAAATTGATTATAGATCAGTCCTTAGTCACGAATTATGCCTTATGGCTTAACGTAGGGACAATAAAAAGTACTTTTCTGCAATTTCTTGAATATACATCAGTAATGATGTGGATCCCCGCCCAATCTGTTTGAAGAAACGTGCTGTAAAGGTAGATTTGTCACTCTGCCACTGAGATTGAGAATCTGAATCAAATAGTGCCCTCAGTGTTGTGCGTGTACTCGCATAGGCCTGAGCTCAGTATGAGCTTCATATGCTCAGGATAAAGACTACCCTTTTGAAAATACATGCTAGAGGGAATGAGGCAGATAATGAAAACAGATTTGGAGCTAATTTTTAAATACCAAAGCCTCTGCTAATTTTCTCCTTGGCATTCACAACCAACAGCACAGTTCTAGAGCATAAAAAACCAGGATGTTTGTGATATATACAGGCAACAGCTCTTTCTCATACTGTCCACATGTCTGAGCTTCACTTCAGTAGGAGGACTGAGAGAGCTGCAGCTCTACTGAAAATGAAGTTGTGGTGTCATAATTGCTGCTCTGAGGGTCAACTCAATTGTACAGTATGGTTCTGCTATTCTTTCATTTTCTGTTTTCATCTTTTTGTTTGTGCCCACACTCAAACTGCAGCCTTATGAGCATTAGAACATGCTTGAAAATAAAAGTCCTGTATGACTAGACTCTGTTTCATTTAGTGTTTGATGGTGAGTTGTCAGCAGTGCAGCACAACACACAAAGCGCGGTGCTGCTCTGTCAGGCTAGCTCTTGCCATAACCTTCTTCCCCCTGTTGAATTAGATACTTACTTTTCACTACCTAGCCCAGGAAAAAACAACTGTGTTTATCACATGGATCCTTTTGCTGTCATTGTTCTCAGTTTGCAAAGAAAGTGTCAGAGGAGTAAGTTTATTAATCTTGATGGCTAAGCCTTGAGACAGGCAATTAACGAAGCTGCTTATTTTCTCTTCTGCTGTAATTTTCCCTCTCTTTCTACTGCAGAGTTAATCAAATGCTGAATGTTTATGTTCTATAGCAGTTTTTTTTTAGCTCTGCTCTGAAATTTAGCTTACAGGCAGCTATGTCCACCTGGCAGCTGATCCCAGTGGTGTAATTTCACATAGAAAAGTGTGCTAAATTACTGTTTTAAAATCAAATCACTTTAGATATTGTTTGGTTAAAAACAAGACGGATGCCTCGGGCACACAGGACAGGTACTGCCAAGCAAAAGAAGTTTTAGACAGTTTGGCAGTGGCCAAGCAGTCTAAATAGAAATTCTGCTGAGAAATAACTTTGGCTCTGATGTGGTGAGGTTTATCTCCACTGGTTTCTGCTTAGATAGTGTTTAAAAAAAAAAAAAAAGTGATCAAATGGAAAAAAAATGTGCCAAGCAAAAATTGGCTAAAAAATAAAAAGTTTGGGGCTAGAAAAACACTGGTGTAGAAGAATTGTTTAACAGCAGACAACTAAAACCCAAAAGGCTTTTTGAATCTGTATAGGAGTTTGGTCCATTTGGCAGCAGACTTTTAAGTGTATGAAAAACAAAGTCGTATCATAGTAGAAGGAAAACTCCCTATTGCCCAAGTCACAACAGAAGAAAGTCTACTCAAGGCAATTATCAGAGAGCTGACTGCTTTCTCATGTCATACACTTATGTGTAACTGAGTTATCCGATACCTCCTGAATGTTCCCATTAGCTAGGGTGAAGGAAATAAGTGAGATTTAATGAATGAGAATTGCCATGGAGTTTAACATCAGTGAAGCACTTCAGCTTTCTGTGAGCATCAGAATGCCAGTTAATCTGAAATGCATTCAGTCTGGATGTTCAGAAATTAATTGATACCAAGCAGCAAATTAATTTACAAACTCCAAACCATGGGCAAACTAATATGTGTTAAAATGAACTGGAGTATTCATTCTGGTAACCTAAAACCATTCAAGGTGAAAGGTAGCATTACAGATTCTCTCTTGGTAGACAATCTTGTAACTATTTCCAAGTCACCCAAGATATGTTGTGTATCCATCCCAAACATTCCAATGAATTTGCACTCTGCTCTCTGAGATCTTGTCCAGGTAGTCTCTACTGCACATACAATGAGTGACAGTGTAAGCACAGTTATTCTCACCAAAATGTCCTTGAGGAAAATTACAGCTTCCTAATGGGCTAAATTTAATACTGCGAAGTGGAGAAAAAATGGGATAACTACAGAGAAGCAAATTTAAGATGGTGTGCATAGGTCAAAGCCTGAAGTTTATGCTATGGGAGCTCCTCACTTTCAGTACGTTCTGCAAGAGTGGGAAGGTAGGAACCAAAATCTTTGTAATGCTTGCAATATTTTGCACATAATGCAGTCTCAAGAGAAAGGGTGGAAGATGATCAGTGGCCTCTTTTTACACTTCTTTAGCAACCTGATTTTAGAAGGTTAGCTCAGGGTATTGATACGGAAGTATGTTCTACATATTTCACTTCCAGATGATACTTCAAAAATTGAAGTTTCTGTTACTTAAACTGCAGATCAGCAGTTAGTAGTCAGTAATTCAAAGACCAGTCATTGGCTAGTCATAAAAGGAATTTAGTCAGATCTGCAGACTGTAGCTTAGAAATGATGGTACTAGTGCATGGTGTGCACTTCATTCTCAGCAGAAAATAACAACGCGGGTGAAAATGGCTTGAAAAAGAAGGCTTGTTTTAAATTGGAGGAAGGAAGTTCAAGATAAACTTCTTTTCCCATTCAGGCCTATGGTACATATGAGCTATGTATATGTGTAAGTTGCCAGATACGGACCTAATAACTGAAAAATGGGATAATTACCAAGTGAGAGAACAGGAAATGTTTTGATTTAAATAGTGTGTTTTTTGTTTACATTCCTATTGCGAGTGGAGTCCGTTGGATTCAGTCACAGCCGGTGTGTTTCTGTCATACTTGGGTAATCCCATGGATTCCAGTACCACTGCAGTTGTTTGTGAACACTCTAATCTCTCTGCTTAGTCAACTCCCTGTTTCTCCGTGGCTGTAAGCCAACAGAACTTTTGTAGTACCTCCTCTTTCACCTTTTGAAAACTTGTTTTTTAAAGTCTGTTACTTCAGATTTTGGATCCAACTCAGATATGTTTGCCCTGAAGATAAAAAGTGAACTGACTTCCTTTGTACTGATTTATCTGCAGTGTAGTTCAGTTTGTTTGTTTTGTGTTGTTGCTTTTTATTAGGAAATATACAAACCAGTGTCCTTCAGTAGCCATCAACAAAAATTGAAACTGTTTGTGAGAGGTGAATTTCAACTGTTACCATTACTGCTGTTTCCTTGACTATAATGTTAAAATATATGTATATTTGCAGCTTGGGTACATGGCGATCCCAGGAAAGTGATTTATCCAACTGACAGCTATGGGCAGTTCTGTGGTCAGAAGGACACCTTCAATGAGTGAGTACTAAACCTGAACACCTGTCTTTATGACTCGTGCACTATGAATAAAAAATGAGGTTTCACATCCTCTGCTTGTAAGTGGCTCTTGAGCAAAGTTGAAGAGACATCAACACTTGACATCCTCTTACTGCATGTATTCCAAATAAAGTTCAGAACTAGATTAGTTGCTCAGAGGAAATCTAAACACAGATTATTACTGTAGAGCAGTTGTTGTCATCATTCAGAGAACATTTTTAGTCAAGTATAAACGTAACTAAGATTGCATCACTGATAGCATTGGAAGTGATTAGCTGGCACATCTTCTAACAGCAAGGTCTAGGGAAGCTCTTCTATCCATCTTGGGACAAGAGTAGTCTAGAGACTACTTGAAGAAATAGCAGTTAATGAATTGTATTTGCCAGTATGAGTTTTTTGTAAAACAGCACATAGGAGAATGTACCCCAGTAAAAAGAAATGTGCATTCTAAAATATCAGGCAGTTGAGCTTGAAAATGAATATATGAAAATGAAATGTAATTGTTATATATACAGGGGAATGTAATGGTCTTGAAGATCTAGCCAGACTAAGCAGCTGGTGGAATCCCAGTGCTGATCAGAGTACGTGTCCTACACTGGGATACTCGAGAACTACAGCAGTAGCAGCCTGGCTACTCCAAGAGCACTTTGGTTTTGGCTTAACCATCCTCCTCCCAGGGCAGAACTCACTTGTGTTGCTGCGGTGTGTCAGTGGTGTGCCAGTTGCACCAGCTCAGGGCTGCTGTGCTGTCTTCTCTTGTGCAGCACAGGCCATGGGATATGTGCTCTGTTGTGTCCTGGGGGCACCGAGCAGTCCTGGCATGGCTGGCTGACTTTGAAGTCATACAGATAGGGCAGGACTTCTGGTATGCCATCCTCCCTGGAGATAGTTGATAATTATTTTGAGATAGAAGATTTTACCGGCACATTTTGATCATTGTGAACAGTAGGTGTTTAAATCTGGCGATCTTGGAGTCATCAGTTTTCAAGAAATCCAAATAGAGGAGGCCCCCGGTGTGGGACCTTAGGGCCCCGATTTCCAGGAGCTGTGGGATGTTGCGCACAAAGCCCTTAGGCTGCTCTTTATCTATACCATGGGAGAGCTGGGTGCATCTCTGTAAGATGACATGATCATTCTGCTTCCTGGCTCACTGCTTTCAGTTTCCATCCATGAAAAGCTTATGATTTTGGTGCAACCTTCTCATCAGCAAAATAATCAGATTTTACAATGTACAGTTTGTTGATAGTAATTTTGTATGCAGTACTCAGCATGTTCAGTGCAAGCAAAGGGGCTGCAGTGTTTTGCCGGTGTTTTACTGGATAGCTTTGCATTTCTTAGGGGCACAGTTAAGACACCATGTAACAGTGCCGAGGATTTAAACCCTTGCTGTGGAAGAACTGCTCAAAGTTAGTATTCTTTAGAACAAAAACTGGTTTAAAGGATCTGTTGTTGTAGAACATTCAGTATCTGTGATTTTTTTTTTTTCTTGTGTTTGTATTAAGACTTTAATAGAATTAAAATACCAATGCACGCTGTGAATTTTGATGTGGTAGGATATGCAAGCACCTATACTTATAATGTTAATTATTTTATGTCCACTCCTGTAGGAACAAGAGCATTTTGTTTTACTTTAACATTCTGAAATGTGCCAGTCCGGTAGTGTTAATTAACCTGCAGTGCCCTACAACACAGGTGAGTGAAATACAGAGATATTTTCCCTGCCTTGTAGACATAGTGCTTAAGAACTAGATGTGCATTTGTTTGGATTTTAAAAGCACTGTTGATCTCCAGCTAAATACCATACAGTTGTTTTATAGATTACATACATAGCATAAAGTATCTGCGTTCCGTTATGATCAGAGAAAATAAATGGAAACGTATCAGATTGTGTATTTTAGGTCAGAGTTGAAAAAAAGTCTAGTTTAATACAGCAGTTTGTTACTCACTGATTTATTGCAGGCAGGTGTCCAGTACTAATAAGTATATACAAACAATCATTTTAATTGACAGCTAGGGTTTTCCAAACTGGGCATGTACATGACAATGTGTATATCCCCAGTGGCAGCAGTTTCTGGGTGTGGTTGGATTTTATGGCACTTGCAAAATTGAAGAAAGCTTGTTTCTGACTAATGCCAAAATCTGAGATCTCCCTTATCTGTGCTGCAACTGATTGTGAAGCTGTGCAGTAACTCCAGTTCCTGAACTCATGTGGATTAAAGTTACCCTTCTGATCTTCTGTACGTGAGGCCGTTTTATTGTCTGGTTTGCTGAGCAATTGTGCAAACAGTGATGTCAGTTCATCTTTGAAAGCAACAGATTATGGCCTCAGGTGGGTCAGAGGAGTTTGGGGCAGGACTGCTCTGATCCACCCTTGCTACCAGAGTATTTGTTCTGTGTAAATAAACAGATGATAGTTTGGTCTCACTCGTCTTGAGAATGTTTGGTGAAATATAGTCTTACTTTGGATGAGAGCTGCTTTTTGGTGACCAGTTTACTGACTCCAGATGTCAACTGTCCATTTATTTTACTGTCTTTGAAAAGTGGTTCCCGTTCCAACTTGTGCTTTCTCCCGATTCCTATTCTTGCCAGATCTGTCTCACCTATTTACTGTGACTGCACAGATTATTTGACACAGCTGATATGATGAAAATCTCTGGGAAGGGAGAGTGGGAGTCTTAACTCTATTCAGTTGCTGATAGAATGGAAACTTCATCAGCAGCAGATTTGTTTCTGGAATTTCCACCTACTCACACTCAAGACGCAGAAACTGTTGCCCTGCAGTCCTTGGACTTTTTTATTGCAACAGTTCAGCCTGCTCACATATACTGAGATCATTGTGAGGGATTTGACTGGTACTGTGTTCAAGCTGGCAGTGGTCGTGGATCAAGAAAGATGAAACACTTTGTTGAACCACAGTTTGGGGGAGGGTGGGTAGTTAATTTATTTCAGACATCTCCAAAACTGAGTATGTTCTTAAATCCTGTTTGCTGCTGCAGAAGTTTAATTCCCTGTTTTTGGTTTGTTTGTTTGTAAAAATGCTGAATAGATTTTAGTTTGACAGTGCCTCTTTTAAACTGCAAATAAGATCTTTAATTCCTGCTCCTTTCATGTCAAATTAGTTCAAGAGTGAAAAACAAGAACCACCATGTAAAGAGGCTCAGTTTTAAAGTAAGACTGTGGATTTACAAACTTGCTATTGCAGTTCACTGGGATCCACAGATAATACCGCTCTCAGACATGGTTTGGGTTTTGCGTGGTGCTGTTTGGAGCTAGGAATTGGACTTAGTGATCCCTGGGGATCCCTTCCAACTTGAGATATTCTATGTATGTATTTTTCTTTTTTTTGCAGCTTTGTGTCTCAAAGTGCCCAGACAGGTTTGCAACCTACATTGATGTTCAAGCTTCCTACAGATATAGGCCAGATCAGTGGAATTACTTCAGGCAGTACTGCAAACCTGGTTTTAACAATCCTCGCAAGGTGTGTATGCATCGAAAGGTGATGGGATGCATTCATTCTTCAGGCAATGTGCCTGATTTTACTGAACTATATTAAAGCTTTAGCTTATTCCAGTATCACCGTATTAGGAGCATTTCCATGTATAAGGTTGGGCACTGGTTTACTCACGGCTTAGATCTTTTGTGCACACCGAGTTCCCTCTTTCAGTGATTGCTGTTTGCTTACAAAGATATCTGCGGCTGCCCGTGTGCATGCAGGACTGTGGCAGGCAGTGTTCTCCTGTACTTAGAGGCACCACAGCAGTAGAGCAGAGTATCTCAACCAAGGTCTCAATGCTGCTTAGTCTATTTTGTAGCTAGAAAAATAGATCAGTCTTTAACAAAATTTATTTTGCATTGAATGGTACTGTAGATGTTTCTCTCATCTTTAAAACACTTTGCAAATCAACTCAGTTAATTGTGTTAAATTCTTACTCCTCCTGAAGAGAAAAAAGCAAGAGGAGTTAAGGAACGATTTGTCAGTCACCTCTGACCCAGATGCAGACCCAACGTGAGAAGGTTTTTTATTTTTAATTTTTTTTTTAATAGAAAAAGCAGTAAGAACAGTCTTTTCCAAAATGACATTGTCAGTACAGATTCTCACATCATTAATAATTCTTGTAGCTCCACCAGTCAAATTCAGGGAGGAGGCTACAAATCCCATTTTGGGACATTTTTTCAGACTGGGTGAGAAATTGGAGGCATTTTGTTATTCTGCTGTGTATTCAGCATTCCTATTTTTCCCCTTTTTAGTCTGTTGCTCAAGTCCTACGTGATGAAGATTGTCCTTCGATGATCATTCCAAGCAGGCCTTGTGAGTGGTTCTACTTCTTACACGTATCTTAGATGATTTTTAGTATTCACAGAAAAGCACAGCTCCGATCTGAAGAATGTTTTGTGGCAAGGTCTCTAGGAGCTGTTACCTGTTAGTGACTGTCAATCATTTGTAAAGTCTAAAAGTATAAAGATGTTTTTTTTTCTAACTGCTGTCTGTGCTCCGGTCAAGCTGAGCGTTTTCTTCCTCATGAATCACCACTAATACTGAAAAAATTTACAACTCAAGTTAAGCACATGGGCAAGCAGCCCCATTGGCTCCAAGAAAACGCCGTGAATGCACAAAGGATCATGTGGACAGCTGTTAAAGTTCAGAGGGTACTTGAGCCTGATTACAGTGCAGCTCAATTTTCACTTGTAATGCTGGCTCTGTAAGGAATAGAGATCAGTAATAAAGAGGCCTGAAGACATTTTTGTCTCTATGGCTAGCAGGTATTTCTGATAGACCTCAGAGCTGGTCTCAGCTGCAGGAGTGGAGTACCAAGAGTATCTGCCACTGCATGAAGATGAGAAACTGCTGTTTGCTTTTTCATGTAGGCATTGTGCAAACCAGGGGCAGGTGTGGGGGGGAAAAAAAAAAAAAAAACCCCACAGATTCACTTAGAAAAAGGTTAAGAATTCTTACAAAAATTGATATAGTGACCCAAAAGTCAGAAAAGTGACTTGCAGAGCTAGTATCTTCTATCAAACTACATTATGCAGCAAAGATTCCAGAGGAAGGAAGAGGGGCGTATTGATTATACTCTCAGAATATTTGGTAGGACAGATATTCTAGACTGAATATTGAACCCTGGTGTCATTCTGTGTTGGAACCAGATAAGGGTAGCACAGAATTGTTACGTAAAAAACGGCTGTGTAGGAGGAATGATCTGCTTGCCTTTTCCAAATGAAAATCTGAACATTTTGCAGGAAAAAGCCGGGCAACAAAGCAGAGCATGTGCCTATCTCTCCTTTTTATTCTTATTTACAACTCACCCCTCCTTTCATCTAACAAATTGTTTCTGTATTTATTTTCCATTGCCTCTTCTCCCAGAATATCTAGTGACAGTAACTGCTGTTGTAGTTTCCATATGAGGCACTGATGCTTGCTGTTATGTTCTGGTTTGGGTCTCAATACCATTAGTGACCAGTTTTGTTGAATCTGTCCCCGCAGGCTGGTTTGATTATTGCCACGTCAGTGACATATTTCAGACATTGCAGTTTTTGTAAGCTGCTAAGATACTGGCAGAGTAATTCTGCATTTTTTACAAAATTTGCAACTACTACAAATACTATTATTGTTTTTTGATAGAAAAACACCTAGAATCTCCTGTTGAAAGCAGTACTTCCATTATGCCTGAACTTGTGCAAACATAGGACAAGATGTCCCAGAGTAGGAAAAATATCATATTGTATATACTGACTCTTCCAAAATCTTTCAAAGCCAACGTATCAATAGATCATAAAGTGAAAAACAACGGACATAATAAAATTGAAACAATTTAAATATGATAGAATTTGTTGCATCTGCTTTTAGAGCATGAAAGTGAAGCTTGTCTTGAAATGTGATGTGTATGCTTTGTTTTGGTATTTTGAATAGTTCTCAAGAGATGCTTCCCAGACTTCTCCACAAAGAATGGTGTCTTAACTGTGGCAAACCAGACTACATTCAAAGATGGAAGAGGGAAAACAAGAAATGTAACTGATCTCAGGGAAGCTGCAAAGTAGGTTCTACCATTCTTTACTGCTCATTTGTTGCATTCTGAGACTGTGAAATAATTTAGGCTGAAGATGACCGGGCAAGATTTGCTAATAGATGGTCTCTTTGTGCCTGAGCAACTGCACAGTTCCAGCAAGGGAAACTAACACCGTGGAATACAGAAATGAGCAGGGAAGTAAAAGTTTTAGTTTGATTGTCTCAAAGTAATTGTCAGCTTTTAAATAGTTGTTATGTTTTGGTTGGTTTGTTTGTTTTTCCCTAGCAAAAGAAATAAAGAAAAGCATTAAAGAAAGTTGAAGAAGGCTAAAAATGAAACCTTAATGTGCTGTGCTATTTCCTGTGCTTAGCCTTTCTGCTGACATGCACTGTCCTAGCACTATAGGCATTTCATCTCATAAGAGTGCTCCTGTTTTTAATATGTGCCTAATGGTCAAAAAGTGATGTATGATAACACTGCAGGTAGACTCTCCTGGAGTCACAAGTGATGTCTTTTAGTACATGCTTAATAACACATGATTTTCTTGTGACATAATAAGCAATTATGACTAGTAATAATTAGCACTTACTGGGCTTTTAAAACAAAGATGTATCACGAGATGCGTAGGCTTTTTTTCTGAATTTTTTGAAGGTTTTTTAACTTAGAATCTTCTTTGACATACCTAAGATTGATGTTGGCTTGCTTACGGAACCGAAGCTGAGTAATAGTCATACAGTCATATGATTAGCAACGATATTTCAGATCTGTTTACTGGAGACTATCCGTTGTTTGAATCAATTCTGCTTGTCTGCCTAAAGCAACCTTTTCTTGGGTTTGTCTTTCTCAGCGGTATCAACAATGTCCTGGATGCAAGATCAGTTGGAATGAAAATTTTTGAAGACTATGCCATTTCTTGGTATTGGATATTAATGTAAGATTTGAATGAGTAATTGTAAATTTTCCAAAGTCACTTCGGAGTGTGAAGAAATGAAAGAGTAGATCATGGCTGTGTTTGTTGTCAATTCTACATTTAAATTCAAGGAGCAACTGTAACTTCTTTCATCGCATTATAGCAATGTGATGATTTGGGACATGAGGGAAGGACAGCACAGCACACATGCACAGAATGTCAGTTGATTTGGAATCGGCTTTTGTTATCCTACCAGGAAAAGCAGGGGGGGACATTTTGTGTTGCAAGAACTATCTGTGTGGTAATTCCAAAACTGAAACTCTTAAAGATTTTCAAAACAATTATGCTTGCTAAGTGTCAATATGAGAGAGAGAGCGAGAGAAAGAACTATTTGTGAGTTCTTGCTCACAGTATATGGCCACATCTATTATAAATCTGCTAGTGCCAATGCAACAGGTGCAGCAAAACCAAGAACAAAAAGTATTGAACGGCATTAGCTTTATCTTGCAATTCATACTCACTAATCAATAAAAATAGCACCGAAACAAAAGTGGGTGTTTTGTCTGAAGCAAAAGTGTCAGTAAATGTGCATTCTTAGCCTGTTTATGCTATTTTTGAAGGACTTGGGTCCGTCAAAACAAGAGCTAAATCTTTTCCCTAAGTGAGAGCCTATAGCATGCACATATTAAGCACATATTACTCAAACCTAAATGAAAATCTTTCGTAAAACAATAAATACATAAACTTTGGCTAATGAACTGCATGTGAAGAACAATTGAGAAACATAAATTATCAGCTTTTAAAGATTTTTTGCCGCTGGTGGGAGGACAGCTTTTCACTGTCTTATTTTGTGCTCGCAATTATCAGTGGCAAGAAAATCACACGGATATTCAGCAAGCTCGCTTCTATCTAAATCTGGTATTGAAATCAGATCTATGGTGCATGTTCTTTCATAGGATATGTTATAGGTAGGCTGGAGAGGGAAATGACTGGTTTTGGACAGAAATTATACATTCTGAAAGCTAGTTTCCACATTTCAAATATGATGCTTATATAATGCAATTTTAAAATAGTTGGATTGAATTATAGAATGGTTTGGGTTGGAAGGGATCTTTAAGATCATTGCCTCCCATTGGACCAGGTTGCTCCAAGTCCCATCCAGCCTGGGACTTTTGTTTGTCTGAAGTGGCCTTTGGTTGGCATCGCAGATGTGTGTGATAGAGAAGATTCTCACACTTGTCTCACTTTTTGTTTCTGTCTCTTGTCTCTCCAGCGGGCTGTTCATTGCAATGATAGTGAGCCTGCTCTTCCTTGTGCTGTTGAGGTTCACAGCTGGGGTTCTCTTCTGGATTTTCATATTTGGTGTGATTGGAATTATAGGCTATGGTAAGTGTAATCTAGCTTGTGAGGCTGTTTTTCCTCACGCTTGGGCAAGGAAAGTCAGTAATTATATAAATTTTACAACGGGGGAAGTAATGTATGGTTTTGGACATGGTTCATAGCGAAGGGCTTAAATGGCAGCAAAACTTAATAAAAATTCAGCTCTGCTGTCACAACAGCAGATATATTTACATGAATTATCTACCCGTGGTGCACTTTCTACTCATTTGTACTGATATTACTTTTTATATATGTTATTTCATAGTTTACTGGCCTCACAGTAATGCATTTTTGATTTTTGCTTACCTGACGTGCTGAGGACAGAACACTTGGCTTGTAGAAGGTTATTTAAAAAAAACCTTGTCTTTGCAGTCTTCAGAAATACACTTTTTATATTGATTGCTTTTTAAAAGGCATCTGGCACTGCTACTGGGAGTATGATCATCTCAAAGGCATACCTGGATCTGACCTCACTGTTTACGACATTGGATTCCAGACAGACTTCCGCGTGTACCTACAACTGAGGCAAACGTGGCTAGCATTTAGTAAGTGCCCTTTAAAACTGGTATCACTTAATGGATATTCAGGAAAATGAATCAGTGTCTTGTTACAGTGTCTGCCTTCTAAACACGTCACTCAGAGAGGTAAGAAGAATTCTTTTTCTTTGTATTGTATAAAATATCTGTTTTTTGCAAGGAGGATAGTATATTTGGAAAAAAAGATGATGCAATTACACTGCTGATGGCAGTGAAAAACATACTTGTGTATTACACTTCTCGTGTGTTCTGTCTTCATAGTGAGCAAGAAGAAGTTAGTCCTGATGATGTTGCAAAAGGGCATTTTTCTCTCCCAGTCCACTTATTCTGAGAGCCCCACAGATAAGATTAATAACGGCACATCTTGGTAGAACTCCTTATGATCAGGTCATTGAAGAACTTGGTAGAGCTCATTATGATCAGGTTTTTTTGGAGTCTGCTCTAAGACTGTGGAATGACCCTTCACAAATTAGATTGGCTTTGTTTTCAGGAGTGCTTCATTGCCTTCTCTTACAGGAGCATGTGCACATATATTTAGAACAAAATTCTACTGAAATAAGAGAGCTTGCAGCATGCACATCTCCCCGGGGAAGAAGGGACAGAAGAGAGAACAAATGTGTGGAAGATATAAATTCCACTGCTGTTACTGCTTTACTAACAGGCGTGCAGATTCTTTAGCTGGAACGATGAATGGAATACAATCTGGATAAAACTCTTCTTCTCCCTATGAGTAGCTGAACTAATAGAATGGCAGTGTCGAGGTTAATCTCCTCTCTCTGTTTTGTGGATTGTCAAGATTGTGAGGCATCTTTTTATGCATTGTTGAGGCAAATACTTGTAGTATGCTATCTCTGGAGGATCTTATGTCATTATGTCTCCAACCTCTTGTAGTTCTATCTCTTCTCCTGCCTGACTCTTAGCAGCCAATATGGAGTCTATCTGGAGCTCAATGTCACTTCCAGATTAGTGAACTGAGGTGGTCAGGAATTAAATTATTTCACCCAGCAAAGCAGTTTAAATATCCTTGAAGAAAATGTGGGCCCTCTCAGTCCTAGTCTAGAACTCATCATGTATTAACATTGCTTTCTTTTTTGTTTTGCGATGGGACAAGACTCATTAACTTAAAAGAACTGAAATGAAATGAGAAGTGAAACCTGATGATCTTTTATTTCATGGGAACCTGTATTGAAATAGATACTGAAATGCACGTAACAAAAACTTTGCTCTGAGCACCACAGTGATTATTTGCCAACTGCAGTTCTGACAGCCACAGGGCTGGTTTAGATGTCATCTAGCTCTTTAAAGCACCCAAACTTACGGATGTGTCTCAGAGTCAGAGGAGATGTGTTTCAGGACCCAGACTACCCAACATGCAGTCCGGATTTATTTTTTTTTTTTTTTCTTTTTACTGTAAAAGTAGGTTTTGAACTGACATAAATAGAAATTAGACTGAAGCAGACTCTTTGAACCAGATCTGGTTAATGACTCAAATATTGCTAACAGAAGAAACGTTCTGGGACATGCCACTCTGCTTTCAGAACTCAGAGGCAGTTTGTATGATTCCAGCAGCATGACTGGAAGCTGCAAATAATTTGCCCAAGTGTTCTATCCTAGCCTCTTTTTTTTTTTTTTATTTTCTTCTTTTTTTTTTTTTCTAGTGTGAAATGAAAGAAGCTCCTACCAAGTTAATACACAAACAAAACTAATGATTTAAATGCATTTAAATGTTAGGACAATATGCGTCACAAAAACACACTCTACATGAAAAAATTAACTCATCTTTTTATTTATTTTATTGCATCTAGATGCTGCAAACTAGTAGCAGTAAAGCATTAACTTGGAAAATGCTTGTTTATGAAAAATATAATTTGCTAAGGATAAACCATTTTTAAGGTTAAATGCTGCAGTCATATTGAAGTGGATGATTATCTTTGCCTTGGGATGCTATCTTCCATTTTTCCTCTAAAACTAGAAATGCTAATGGGTGCTACATTCTGACTAATTCCCTACATGTAGAATTGCCCTGTGCTGCCACACAGAAAGCTGTGACATGAAATTGGCGATTAGCAGCAGTGACAGGAAAGGAGATCTGCTTTAGTAGAGAAGCTCATGGAATTCATGAACAGTAGTGTAAAATAGAAGGCAAGATGAAAAAAGCAATTTACAAAGGCAGTGTGTTCGTTTGATTCTTGACAAATTTGATCTTTTTTTGTTGTTGTCACCTACAGTGATATTACTTTGTGTTGTTGAGATCATAATCATATTGATGCTGATCTTCCTAAGAAATAGGATCCGGATTGCTATTGCACTGTTAAAGGAAGGTAGTAGGTATGTTTGTCTGACTTTAAAATCTTTTAAAATTTATTAAAATGATCTCTAGGGTATAATCTTCTTGAGCTTCATCTTGTACTACAATGTTGGGAGTGAATGTGCAATACTGGATTTGTTGAGAATAATGGATAGTATATGGAATGTTCATTCTCTGTTGATGAGATTTTGCTTTCTGTTTTGCAATGGGACGTTTCTTATATCTCAGTTCCTTGCCTTAGGAGTTCATACATGGTGGTACTATGTGTTCTCAATGTAAAAGGGTGCATTGGTTGAAATGCTGAGTGTGGTACAGTATTAATAGGAGCCTGGGAACCTATATTTGCCAACCTTGCTCTGTCACTGATTGTCTCCAAAGTGCCATACTGGTGGTGGAGTGTTACAGTGGCTGTTATTCTGGAAAGACTGGATTCTTCTGGCTTCAGTGGAACTTCTGAGTGGACAAGAATGAATCTGAAGAGACTTCTGCTACCAGACATTGTAAAATGGCTCAGCCCAAGACACTTCTTTTCAACTCTGAGCAAAGGGGAAAGCAGAGCAGGATGTGTTAGCTGAAGGGCTGGGAGATTTCATTTTATGTTTCCTGAAATCTGCATAGAATTTGTTTGCAATGGTTCCTGTTTTATACAGCGCTTAGGCTTAGTTCTTTTAAAACTGGTTATATAACAAAGGGGAAAAGGGCTTGAAAAATCAGACCCTTGGATTTCATTACAGGTAGGCCTACGCTCTGACTGACAACTACTGAAAACATCTTCCTTGGCAGCAGAGCTCTGTTACTAGAGCTCATAAACTTAGCTCTGAGTGTATCTGTGTGCGCTTTCTGGCCCCCCTATTGACACTATGGTCCTCAGAATTTGGGGTTTTTGTGATTAAGAAATACTGAAGCTTTGCATTCAGTCATGTGCTCATTTCTTTCTTATGTCATTGTACAAGTAGGGCATAGCAGTTAAAATGGGCAGAACTAAATTATACTCTTCAATTTCTCAGGAATGCTTTTAACTGTCTATAACAATTTCTTCATAGCCACGACAGTTACAAGGATTTCAGAAATGTTATAAACTTTCTGCTGAGAAGTAGCACCATTCTACACTTCTTCAGCAGCGTGGTCACTGGAGGGCAATGGTTTTGCTCTCATGCAGAACACAAGGTGCACTCTGTAATTACTGTAACTGACCGTGCAGTTTATTCAGGAAGAAAAAGAATATATTTTTTAATGACTGGAAATCAAATTATGTTTTTCAATACCTTTTAACTATTCTCTTAAAAGTATAATGATTATAATACTAATAATTGACTTGAAATCCGAAGTAGGAGACAGCAGTTTTTTTGCATAAGTCTGTGGTTTTAATAGTAACTAACAGAGCTGCCATTAACTACTGAACAATACAGCACTGAACTTCTGCTAATACCTAGTGATTATTTCTCAGACAGCATAAAGCTATGTCCTCCTTTGTGACTCTTAATGTACTTCTGTATTTAAAGACACAGACCTTGACATGTACCTCTTGAGTGCATGAGACAGCTCCGTTGCATTCCCCCACAGCATTTTCTGGTTTGGCAGCAAAAGCTGAGTAAATTTGTCACCTTTTATGTTCCAAAAACTGCCTCCTCTAGAGCAAATGGGTCTGAAGTACCACCTGTCATACAAGAAAAATGACTGGCTGTAGGGGCTAATAAGCTTGTGATAAGCTTATGGAGTCAGTGAAAGAAAATTTGAAGGAGTGGAAATAGGTGTGTGAGTGTAAAGTTAACCAGTCTGTAAGCTTAAGTGAACAAAAAATGTGTTCTGCAGTATCGCATCCAGTGTCTCATGCCCAGCTGAAGGCATTTGTCTGTGGAACACCACATTACCCAGAGGGACTGTATCCATTAACTCCCAGAAAAGCAATAGCATCTGCTGTGCTCATTCTAGCCTCAGGAAGTGTTGGTAGATTACTCGTCTCTAACAGGCCTGATGTAAAAAGGGGCTCAGGGGCTCAACAGTGCAAGGCTTACTGTTCTTCAGCAAACTTCAGCTCTCCTATGGCACATGCACAGGAAGGTGTCAGAATGTCCTGGAATTCTGAAGACAAGCTGAATGCCTACCCAAACAAGCTAATACTTAAGCCAGGAAAGGGGCTGTGAACAAAGTCCTCAAATACAAAGTAGGAAGGAGTGATTTCAGGCTATGCTGGGTCTGAAGAGAAGGCATAGGATCTGAGCAGCGTGGGATGTGGCAGTAGAGGGTAATGTCTTCAGATGTCTGCAGCCCAGAAAGGGCAGGATCTGTGAAGTAGAAGTGGAGAAAGAGCAAGTAGAAGACAGGCTTGAACGTGGCAAATAGATGACTTCAACTATACTGGTGCCAATGAAGTGGAGTGGTAGAAATACTGAAGTAAAGATGTGAACACAGTGCCTGCACAGGCACAGGGCCTTCTGAGGTCCTAGCTCCAGATTATGCTACCACCATCAACAAGTAGCTCAAACTAAAAAGAGTTATATTAGGAGCTGATAAAAAGCATGTTTCTTAAATTGTTGTAACTTACTGATGTATTTTATTTCTTTTACAGGGCTATTGGCTATATAATGTCTACGTTGTTCTACCCAATTGTCACCTTCATACTCATTGCAATTTGCATTTCCTACTGGGCTGTGACAGCTGTGTATCCTTCTGCCTGTATACCTCTGTGGATAGTGTTTTTCTGCTCTAAAAGAGAAGATCATGCTCTGTGATATCACCTAACCAAGCCAGTATCAAGAAGCCTATTTAGTCACCTGTCAGTTGCTGCATTGATGCAAGATTGTTTCTCACTGCATAGTTGGGTGCAATGTATAGTTTGGACAGTGGACTTAATTTCTGCTAAGGCAGTAAGGATCATGTAAGGCCTTGTGTACCACTTAAGGTTGACTTTAACAGTTGAAAAAAAGTCCTCAGCAAAGAAGGAATATGGCATTTAATGTGCTGCTTGCTCTACAGGCCTGTGGTCTCTTAGCTGGGGAATTTCCAAGTGGTCTTTATTCAGAGAAGCGTAGGAGAGGAATGAGAACTTACAGTGCATGGAGTTCTCTCAGCCACCGCTGTTTGTTCCTGGAAAAGCAGGGATTTGACAAGGTATTGGAAACAGGAGCATTGCTTTTTGAAAACAAAGTTTTCTTCTTTCGCATACCACAATGTCCAGACGTAGTTGTTCAGCACAATGTGAATTTATCCTTGTGCTCTGTGTCTACTTTCATCAAAGCAGAGTAGTCAAAGAACCACTGCATAAACAGCCTTGCCATAGTAGGCGTGCAGGAGAGACTGAGGCTACCTTCAAGGTCATTGCAGAATTGCACTCATAGAATTGCAGGGGTTGGAAGGAACCTCAAGAGATCATTGAGTCCAACCACTGAGTCCAACCCTCTGCTAAGCAGGTACCCTACAGTGGGCTGCACAGGTGGGCGTCCAGATGGGTACTGAATATCTCCTGAGAAGGGGACTCCACTGCCTCTCTGGGCAGCCTCTTCCAGTGCTCCCTCATCCTTACTGAAAAGAATTTCTTCTGCATGTTAATATGGAACTCCCTGTGTTGAAGTTCTAGGCCATTACTCCTTGTCCTATCCCTATGCACCACCAAGAAGAGCCTGGCCTCGTCCATTTGCTTCCCACCTCTCTTTAGGTAATTACAAACATGTCAGATCCCCCTCTTAGTCTTCTTTTCCCCAGGCTGAACAGACCCGGGTCACCCAGCCTTTCCTTGTGGGGGAGATGCTCCAGACCCTGTCTCATCTTTGTGGCCCTCTGCTGAATCCCTTTTAGGAGATCCTTGTCTTTTTTGAACTGGGGAGCCCAGAACTGTACTTAGTGTTCCAAATGTGGCCTCACCAGGGCAGAGTAGAGGGGGAGGATCACCTCCCTTGACTTGCTGGCCATGCTCTTTTTAATGCACTCCAGGATACCGTTGGCCTTCTTGGCCAAAGGGGCACACTGCTGGCTCATGGCCGACCTGTTGCCCCCCAGGAGGCCTAGCTCCTCTTCAGCATGTCAGCCCCTACACTTCCTCTTGCCCATTCTGGTCAGGCTTTATAGTTCAGAGATAGAGGTTGACTTAGTTCTCTGAGTAATGAGAATATTCTGTCATGTCTTTCAGACCCTTGTGTACATGTCTGCGTAGCAAAAATAATGTTCCTATTATCTACACAGGCTCTTTAATACCAGTTGTTCCCCACTGCAGAGTCTTAAGTTGCTCAAAGCCTAGTTTTGTGATTCCTCCTTAAAACATTTCATTAAGTTTTCTAGCTACATCAGGAGAACCTGTGTATAAAGTAATGGCTAATCAAACACTGTGCAAGTATGCAAACCTGACTTGTGACCCAGAGGTAAGTGTAACTAGTGTTTACCTTTAGTAAAAATTACACTAATTGCATTTCTTAATTGCTATTAAATGCAATGCTAGGAAACATGCATATTTTAAAATAATTATTCTTTATGTTAAATCTGCAACTAGTATACTTCAGATAACACTCCTTTATTCAGAGCAGTTTACAAACATAAACTAATTTTTCTTCTAAACTGTGCTATAAGGCAGGTGGATATTAGTGGCTCTATTTTATAGGGTGAGAAAGAGAGAAAAGTACAGATTTATTTGGAAAGTTGTCTTTGAATTTGTAAAGTTTCTATTTCATTGTCTTCGCTTCAGTTCAGTTCAAATGAGTGATTTACCCAAGGTGCTGATTTGGTCTACTGTTTTCAAATAAATAGTATATACCTGGGTGTGTTTTCCTTAATGAAACCATAGCAATGTATGTATCTTAAAAGGATACTCCTGAAATTCAAATTCCGTTAATTTTTGTTTCAGGCAAGTGATCAACAGCCCTTTTTGCTAACTACATTGAAGTCAAGCTTTTGCATAAGACATTAGCATAAATCCTGAAGTATGTAAAAAGCTCATGTACTATTGGAATGCAGTGCTGGATAAGCAGAATCAAGCAGAATTATATGATGCTGTATTGCTACTGACCTAGAGATACTCTATACAGAATTCACTGTGGTGTTTCTTTTTCTTTCTATGCAGACATTTAATACAACCAATGTAACAAAATTATGCCCAGGTGCTCAATGTACATTTGCTTTTTATGGAGGAGAAAGCCTGTACCATAAGTACATCTTCATCTTTCAGTTAGCCAATGCCTTTGTCTTTCTGTGGCTGGTAAACTTTGCAATTGCACTGGGTCAGTGTACCCTTGCTGGTGCCTTTGCCTCTTACTACTGGGCTTCTCGAAAACCAGCTGACATTCCACTGTGGCCGCTCTTCTCTTCATTTGGACGGGCAATACGGTAAGACTGTGAAGCTTTGTGTGGGCCTTGTAACTTATTCAACAAGTGCTCTTTTTAAAGTTAAGGAAGCCAGATGGAGAATATAAACTGAAAATGATTAGCCAGGAAGTGTATTCTTTAGGGGGATCATGAATCCAGTAGCCCAGCAGGGCAAGGCAGCTGTATCTTGATGCTGCGAGGTCCAGCCTTGCAAAAGCTGAGCAGCTATTCCCAATAGGCACGCGCACCCAAATGCATGTATGCAGCACACACATACACAGCTGCCATGCAGGTTGACTGCACACGCACAGAGTACTTGCACGAACACCAACAGCCCTAGTGGCATCAGCCTGTTCCCCTCTACAGAGTCCCTTACTGATCAGTTTGAAGGTCTGCTGGTGTATGTAGCCCCCATCATCCCCTACATTTTTATCCAATTTTATGAATATATAATTGTACATGCACACCTATGTTTAAGGCGCATGTCCCGCCAGTAGCCTTAGACACTTGTTAGTGCAGTAGCTGGTGCTTGGATCCCCAAACGCCCCAGTTACTCGCAGCTGGATGTACGAATCCCTGAGGCTCACAGCCCTGCTCCAGTTGTTCCTACACAGTCCTTTCCTCACTGACAGGCAGACAGACAAACGCACACGCTCGTACGCACACATACCTCTCAGTAACCCTTGGACATCTGTCTCTGGCAGTTTTCAGAACCCCTGGTTCCTCCAGCAGCCTCTTTCTCCAGGTGCCTTGCTCCTGGAGGCAAATACACAAGAAGGTCTCAGCCGATCGCAGATCCTACAGTCTCTCCAGTGGTTGACCAGGACCCTCAGGTCCCTCTAGTAGCCAGCTCATCCTGTAGTTTCAGCTTTAGGGAAATATGCACATACTTGGCTCCTAAGCTACTCACCAGCTAATTAACCTTAATATCTGCTGACAGTCACACTCACTCTCATTTGCTCCAGTTACTGGCACCACAGTTGCACAGGCACTCTAACCTGTGGTCTTAGTTGAGCTTCTGGCATGCAGGTCCCTCACTAAGAAAAATAGCTGGAGGTGGAATTTAATAAGATGGGTCAGACTGTACTGATCAAATGCAGTGCATGGCTGGAGAACTTTGCTGACCTGTAGCTATTTATATGCAGCTGGCCCTTTTTGTACCTACCCTTATCCCTCATTTTTAACCATGCTTGTTCCTCAAGCTTGATTCCTCCCTTCACTTGCCTTTAATTCCTTCCCTAAGCATCTCATAATTCTCTTCCCTTGCAACCCAGAATGTGTCCAGTACCCCAAGTCATTAACACTCTCCAGTCTGAAAGGTGCTCAAGAAGTCAATTCTTGTTGACTTACCTTGATGGGCTTTACATCTGAGCCAAGGGACTGATGGCTCTCTTGGGGTTGGCCGTCCTTTCCTCTGAGTGGCTCATTTGGGATCCCCCTGAAGTTGTGCCTCTGTGCTTGCAGAGGTGAGCTTTTGGTAGGACAATCCTTCTGCTGTTACGAGTGTGGGTGAAGCAAGACAGAGCATTGTTCAGGATGTGCACCCCACTATTTTTGCTCTGTGCTGTGTCCCGTGCCCTAACTACTGTCATTATAGGCTTAGCTCTTCTCATTAAAAACATGATGCTTCCTGTCAACTCAGAGGATGCACTGAGTCAATAAGTGCATAGCTGACTAATAGAAAGTAAGGAATAGGCACATTTTGAAAACCTGGGTATAAGATTAGTGAGCTCATAATAATCTTTTGATACTCAAAGCCTCTTTTGACTTGATGAGATAACTGGCTGACAGTTCGGCTTACAGCTAGATTGCTGTAATTACATCTCCCATGCATACTCTGCCCAGACTAGGGCTGACTTTATTCTGAAAGTTATGTCTTTTCCAGCACTGCTCAAAGGGTTGTGCTGACAGGGAATGCGTGTTCGGTGCCACTGTGATTAAGATAAAGTTTTGACAGAACTAACTAATGTGAATGCAACCATCAAATAGCATTTATTTTGTTTTAGATACCATACTGGTTCACTGGCATTTGGAGCCTTAATTCTTGCAATTGTCCAGCTGATCAGAGTAATACTGGAGTACTTGGATCACAAACTGAAAGGTGGGATTTATGAATCGGCACTGGGTTATTAAAAGCTCCTTTGGTAAATTATTTCCTTCCTTTCTCCAGATGATTTTTCAGAAATGAAAAGAGATGACTTCCACATTAGCACTAGCCATTTCAGTTCTATTTGACAGCCATGGAATTTGTGATGATTTGCTGAAATTGAGTGAGTTGGATCTTCAATGCGGAGTTCACGTGGGGCATGAATCTCATCTAGCTGAAAGCTATTGAGCTAAATTTGGTTAGGAAGCAGAGTCTGTACCCAGGAGAAAAGAAGAACATTTCTGCTTTCGCCACAGTTTTAAGATTTTCTTCTCAACATGTTTCTGTTTTCTGGAGACTGTTCCTAAGTTCTGTCTATGATGTGCTTTCTCCTTTTTTCAGGTACACAGAACTCCTTCACTAGATTTCTACTCTGCTGCCTCAAATGCTGTTTCTGGTGTTTGGAAAGATTCTTAAAATTTATAAACAGAAATGCCTACATCATGGTATGTGCTGTCTTTGCATGTGGTCTGCACTGTCTGGGACACTAAAATACCCTAGCAGCTACTAGTTGGTAAACAGCCAGCAGTACTAGAATCTGCTGAATAAATAAAGTGATTTGTGGGAGTTTTCAGGAAGTGCATGTGGTGCTACAATGGAAAAGTAAGGGTTTTTTTTCTTCTTCTAAGTTCTTTCCTTTTCTTGCCTGTCCTTGTCCTTTCTCCCTACCCTACAAAGGAAGTGGAAGGGAATGGCAGCACTGGTTAATTTCCCCCTCTGATTCAGCAGCAGGAGTCCTACTTCAACAGGAACGCAGACTTGTTTTTTGCTGCGTGTTGATGTGACACTTCTGCTTGGAGGCAGTGTTTGAGTAAGGACATCAGAAGGTGTGTGGTGTCTGTATTTGTCTAGGAAGACAAAAGCATGAATTCTATTAGCAGCAGCAGTGATATTACTCTAAAATAAATCCTGTTGTTTTGGCTTCTGAAAGAGAAATCCCAGATTGTCATTAAATAAATAGATTACGTGTTTCACCTGAGGATGTTCTGACTTGAAATAATTTAAGTGATTGAATGCTAGTCACGGGCATTATCTCAAAGTAAGTGGGACTAACAGGTCCATTTTGACCCATGTTGTTGTTTTTGAACATCCTGTTTACAGCTGGCAAACTGGCTGCACTCCAGAAGAGCTTTCTAAACACTACCCGCTTTGTAGACGTTATTCCAGAAAGATGAAATGGTTTTGTTCCTCTGTCACTTCAGTGGCCATACTTCATGCTGACGTAAATCCACTGACTTTGATACTGATATTGCTGATTTCTTCTTGAGACAGTCAGGTCCAAGTCATTATCTAAGTGGCTCAACTCACTTCTGCTCTTCAAGCACCTGTTCCTTTTCCACTGGGTATGAATCTCACATGGGTAGCTAGCAAGGAGAAGAATCCCTCAGTAAGAAGCATTTTTTGCTCTCTTTGGAAAACTAAGTTGTGCCCTTTCAGATATGTAAGGGTAGCACGCTCAAAGTCAGGTGATTGGAAGAGAGATGAACGGTGCTGTGCCACAGAGTGGCGGGAAGCGCCGTGAGGTGGCTGGGAGAAGCGCTGTGTTCACGGAGCGTTCCCGGGCCGAGCGCTAGGGGGAGCTGTGCGTTACGGGAGCGTGATCCTTAGTGCAGGGGCGCCCTGATCTTTTCGAGTCCTTACCAGCGCTGTTATTTTGCAGATTGCCATATATGGTAAAAACTTTTGCACCTCGGCAAAGGAGGCGTTCTTTCTGCTCATGAGAAATGTGGTGAGGTAAGGGGCCGTCTCCAGTCCTTGGAAATGTCGGTGTTTGCTGCTGTTGCTCTGTGAAGACACACTTCCTTCCTCTTCCACCTCCGCTCCGACTATTAATGGTTCTGTCTAGAGACATGGCCATCACTTCTAGTAGCCAGTTTGTAAAAGGGAGCTGTCTGGCATAGTAACCTATGCAAATTTGATCTAATGTAACTGTTCCGTTTAGGTTGCTCTTTTAGAATCCTAAGCACATACTAGATTGTAATTCTGCCTCTAAGTAACTGATGGAAGCCCTATGTGAGAAGATCTGTGCATAAAAAGCAATGGGATGATCATGGAATCATAGAATGACTGGGGTTGGGAGGGACCTTAAAGCCCATCCAGTGCATATCATCCTGTTGCTGTACTGGAAGGCCACAGTGAGATCTCCCCTGAGCTGCCTTTTCTCCAGGCTGAAGCATGCCTGTCTCCTCAGCTTGTCTCCGGGAGAGGTGCTCCAGCCCTCTGAGCACCCTCGTGTCCCTGCTTTTGGACCTGCTCAAACAGCTCAGAAAGTAGTTTATGTTACTTAGTGAAGGACTGGGAGGAAGAGAGGAATTGAAGGGGATGTTGAAAGAGACCAAAATGGAACCAGTGCTTAAAATAGAGGAGGAATGGACTGGATGGGGGAAAATGGAATACATCCACTCTGTTACCCTGCATTAATATCAGAACAGTGGTGCTGTGTCTGTATCAGGTACTGCCTCTGCAGGAGGAAAAAGAAGGTGCCTTTTTTCCTCTCAGAACTACCACCTCACTGTCCTTTGTGCTTCTGCTCTTAATAGGAGTAATAGCTAAAATACAGACATACAGTTTTATTGTTTTGTTTATTTTGTGTGTTTTCAGTTCTTGATCTCCCATGGGCTAATAATGATTTATTCTCTTTAATATTCGTTAATCTCATCCATCGTGGCAGTCAGTACGGTATATTACCCTATGCACAGCTGTCAGTGCTGGCATGAGGCTGATGATGCGAAGCTCGTTTTCCATGCCGTTATTTACCTGCAGTTTCTGATAAGACAGGCTAGCAGGATTTCAAGCAGAAGGCGGCAGCTGTTGCTTTCAGTGAAGTCTGCAGACTTGCTGTTTTTCTGTCTGCCTTCCTTCATTCGTTCATCAGTGACTGTCCCCCTGCTTGGAGACCTCCTACCTTCAGTGTTACCACGTATCTTGAAATAGCCATGTGGATTTGGCATGTCATGGAGTCATAAAATGTGGCCAGATGGGACCAAGAGAGAAGAGGACCTACCAACAGTCTGCATAAACTTTGCTTTTTGTTGTGGTGTTTATTTTGCCTCTTTGGGGCTAGCTTGTCTGAGACCCTAGCGGAAAGTTTGAAACAAGGATATTTTGACACTTTTTAATTTTTCTTTATTTCTGTTTTTTTTTTTACCAAGGGCAATAGGCAGTCTGCAGGCCTAATTCACTGGGCATGCCTTGTCAAGGCCTAATTCAGCAAGGTGGTCAGGTTGTTTTTGTGTTTTGGGTTGTTTTTTGCCTCGTTGGATTAGGCTGTAATGAAGTTCTTCTCGATGCTGCTTTTGTTACATTATCAGTCTGTGAAACCAGCTTTTGTCAGTTATCCATAGATGTAATGAAGAAGAACACAAATTGAAGGTTTGTGGTAACTATGTATCCTTTGTCCTTTGCTGAACAGAGTTGCAGTTCTGGACAAAGTCACAGACTTTCTTTTATTCCTGGGGAAAATTCTCGTAGCTGGTGGTGTAGGTAAGATGACTGATTTTTTTCCAAATTCCTATTTACTGTTACCTACAAGTGTGCCTCCTGTGTTCATGTATGCTTACTTAGCAGTTAAGAGGTTCTCTTTGGTCTGACTATTGAATTATTTTTTTTCTTTTCCCCCCTCTTTATTCCCTGTGTGGTTGTACAGCATCTTTTCTGTAATTGCTTTGTTAGGCTGGCAGGTGTTGCTAACAGAAGGACTTCTGCAGCCAAAGCACTGCAGCTGGATCAAACCAAATTCGTACCCCATAGATCAGCCATAATCCGTTCTCTCTCCACAAGAGCTGAGCAGACGAGCTCCTTGCGTTCACCTGGAGCAGACAGCACACACGTGGGAGGTGGTGCAGGTCTGCAGGGGGTGGGCATGAAGTCATGCCATATTCAGTCCCATTTAGAAAAATCTCCGACCAAAAGTAAAAGAAATAAGATGTTTTTAATATCCATACAGTTCTTCTTTGCTGTCAGTAAATATAAAAAAATATTTTTTGATATTTCATGGCTTGAATTGATCTTTTCAAAACGAAACACTTTGAGAAATTCAGGTTGGTAGTATTTCTTTACAGCTTATCTATGTTGTGACAGCAGTTTCAAAACGTTGTTTTACTAATAACGTAATTTGTATTTTGTATACTTTAAAAGATTACTGGTGAACAATATTGTGAGTAGAAATTGAAAATTATTATCAAGACCAGATCTAAATTTTTCTGTCATTACTGCGGAAGGCCTTGCAAGCTGGGGCACAAAATTGATTTGAAATGTTTTTGAAATGTAAGCCATGAAGTGCTGAAACTCATTTGTGCCTTCTTTCTCTTCAAAAATAAGTTCTTCTGACTACTTCCATTTTAAATGAGCTGTTCTGTTCTAAATCTACTGCTGTGTACTTCACTAGCACTGCCATTTCTTTTTATTTTATTATGAAATAGTTAAGAATTTCTTCAAGCAATAGAATCTAAAGCTGGATTTTGCTGACTGCTTTTATTTTAGGAAAAAAATCCCCCCACTCATCTTTGTTATTATCCCACATTATTGTCGTCTTCATTATTATTCATCATCATTTTGAAATTAAATCCAGCAAAGTGGTGAAATAAAACAACTGTTTGAAGTCTTCCTGGACCTATGAATACCATTACGGTAACTGATGCATGTACATCTCTCTTCTGTTCAGAATACAGATCCAGGAGATAATTAGGGTGGAGAAATGTATTATTCACAGACTCTTGTATAAACCAGCCTTGGGCCTACTGTATGTTGCTCTTGTCACATCCCTCCTTTAGGTGTTCAGAAATCAGGTACCCCAGGAATTGCTAATCTTTTGTGCTTCTTGCAGGTGTTCTCGCGTTCTTCTTCTTCACACAGAGAATACCAGTCTTTGCCCAGGAAGCACCAGCACTAAACTACTACTGGGTACCATTGTTGGTAAGGCAACTGTCTAACCCCCTGAACACAGAAGGCAGTTTGAGGTGTTCAGATTAGTCAGGGTGCGTTCTGGTAACAGCTGCTGTCGTGCTCTTCAGTGAGGAGCGATCTGTTATATTCCGCTCCTCTGGGTTGCTCAGACAGAAGTCACACTGCAGTAACTCTGCACCTTCTGGGAAAAAAAGGTTACAGGTTTTCTTTGCTCAGGCTTCCCAAACAGCAAAGGCTGATGGTGAAGCACCAGTGACACTGTGGCTTCTAATGGAAAAAGTCTGTGATGTCCCTTTTCTTGCTACAGATCAGCCCATGGGGACTGTGGAACAACTCTAGGATGAGTGATTCTTTAGATTACTGTCTTTTGAAGGAGCTCAGAATGTGCTTACAGATATTCTCCATGGAGGTTGAAATGGCTTCAGTTTGACAGCTGAAAAACTGGTGGCTACTGCATGCAGTGTCTTGAATGTCTAATCTCTTTCCACAGCATCAGTAGCATCTGATAGAATTAAGGAGATGCAATTAAATCTTCCACAATTTGCTTAGCAGAGTAGGCATCTGACTTGTGTTAACATCGCCACATTGGTGTCAAGCTAACATTTGGGGTTTTATTGTGGTTTGTCTTTTGTAGACTGTCATTATTGGCTCCTACCTAGTGGCACACGGGTTCTTCAGTGTCTATGCAATGTGTGTTGATACACTTTTCCTCTGCTTTTGTAAGTACTGAGTTTTCTTTCATTAATACCTGTGAATCACAGGAGGAGTACAAAAGCACTTTTTCTGTTCCATACAGAATTCTGTTTACGTGCTTGGAGATTGAGTGAGGAAAAGTATTACTTTGCTTTTTAGACTCACTCTTCGATGCATGCTTGTGTGCAGAAGTGTGTCTCAGTCTTAAAGTAAGAGAAGGGAGTTGCAGCTCACGTGGATATCTGGCTTTTCTTCTTCAGATGTTCTTTAACTATTACTAACTTCACTGAGTGAAGGCTGAAATAAAATGAGCAGCACTCTGTGCAGCCCTGTCATTCTGAGGCCATACCGTTGGTTCTTCTCAGCATGTGTTGCAGAGTGTTTTATGCAAAAGACAAAATATACTAGGAATTTCCTTCTTTTCTCATGACTGATTATCCCTGTACATTTGAAAGATCTCTGTTTTATGTGTGAGATAATACCAGGCTAGTGTAAAACAATAGGGGGTTCTTAAAAGAGCTTATGGACACGCAGTTAGTATGCCCTAAGACATTTTGTCAGCGCTAGAGGCACAAGCAGATATCCACCTAACACTACTAATAATTATCCAGTAAATAAGTTAAAATGAAAACAAATAAGCACATAAATGGTTACTCAAGTTAAGAATATTAACTTGAGTTATAGTTAAGAAGTTGAGAATAAAATGCAAATTAATCAAACTGATAAAGTTTAGGAAGTTGGTTGGCACACTCAAAACTATCAGATTTTCATTTTAGTTTACCCCAGAGGCCTACAGTTAATCTATATGTGCAGTACATGCTGTCATGTCACGACATGCTGTCGTGAAGATTTGCTTTCTCTGACATCTGTGGCCGTTCCATGCAACTAGTGCTTTCTGTTTGGATTTTCAGAAGCAGCTGCCTGCCTTTGCAAGGCTGCAGTTGCAGTAACCCTTCTCCACTGCACTCTTTCCAGACTGCCCCTCAGTTTGAGATTGTTCACCTGTCTGTGCGAGGCATTAACGCTGGGCTGAACCCAGACCAGTGATGTACGCACATCCTTCTGTAGGAAAACAAGGAATACGCCCATCTCGTTACTTTAAATCCATGTTCTGTTTTGCTTCCCGTGCTTCCATTTGCTGTCATACAGTAGGAAATACTGTAGGATGTTGTGCACTGGCAGCACTAGGTTTTTTGGAGAGCTTCATCTCAAGCAGTGAAAAAGGTCCAGTTGAAAAAAATGCTTAAACCCAAAGCTACCTCTGGTCAAAATGTCGGGCTGCTTTAGAAAAAACGTGGCCACCAGCATTGTGGAGGCATTGTGAGTTCCTGACAACCTCACTTACAGCACCAGAGCAAAGGAATGGAGAACAAAAGGGATGCGTGGCTGTCACTTTAAAATAATTAGGTGTGTGCCTCTGCTTTATGTAAAACAATGTCTGACTTGTGAAAAAAAGTTGTTTTGTGGTGTCCTTCAGCATTTTAACGAGTCAGAACTTTCCCTGAGAGCTTTTAAAATGTTGATTCTTTTGCTCTCTCCCTTCCTCAACTCTCTCTCTTTCTCTCACGTGTGTGTTTGGTGTGCTGCTGTTTGCTGCTTTCCTGTGTAAATTCAGGTGAAGACCTGGAAAGAAATGATGGATCTACAGCAAAACCCTACTTCATGTCAGCTAGCCTCCACCGAATTCTAGGGAAGAAGGAGCTAAGCCCTAAGAAGGCAATAGGATAACATGCAATAAACCTCAGCATCAAAACAGTGTCACTTTTAAGCAAAATGTGTGTAAATTAGGCACAAGTAAATACTGTAAATGATGCTTCTGGTTAATGGGTGATTCTTTTTTCCTCTTGCTTACATCTTTAAAAAATCAGCAGCATTGATAATGTTTTATTAGTTTAAAAGCTTAAGCTAACAGCTGTGAAACAAGGCCACATTTTAGTCTATAGAGTGCCTATGGAAAGAAAAAATGTAAATTTGAAGCTTTTGTAAGTCTATAATAATGTTTTAATAACTTTTTTAACACAAGTTGCTGCCTTAAATGACAGCAGTTTTGATAACATTTCTTTTTATAAGTGTATATTTGTAAAAGATATTCAGGCAATTTTTTGAAAGCACTAAATGTAACCTAATTAGCCATAAAAAAGATAGTTTGGGAGTCTCTAGTTAACCAGAGATGCTACTAAATCTGTAAATATGGTGCTATGATTGTATTTTTTGTACATGCTGGTTGTCAGCTATTTAAACTGTGATTATACATGCATTAATGGTTCCCTACACTGAAATGTAATAACGTTTTAATCCCGTTGACAAGTGTGTGTTCTGAGAAGTGATGGTACGTGTAGTCCTGAAGAAAGCAATCTGAGAAGACTACTCTCTCTGTTGGTGCTGCTTAAAGTGAAGTTTTCTTTGAGCTGTGCTTGAAAGATGATATAATTGAGACAGGATCCTATGGTGCTTCAAAGAGAGATCTGTGGTTCACACAGACGAAGTTCTGTCTGATCCACGTTGGCAAAGATATCATTTCCTAGCTGATGTGTAAAAGACAGATACTTGTGTTAATATCCTGTCTTCAGTGAGTCTTTGTATTCTACATTATGAGGAAGTTGAGCTGCGCTGAGAGGAAAATGGAACGCGATATTTTGTTTTCCTTGCAAGGAAGTTTTGGCTGTATATGTACACAGGACCTCCGCTGCATCTGCCTAGTTCAGAAAGGCTTCTCAGTAGGTACTGCAATGGCAGCGTGGGTTCTGAGATCCAAGGCGTGCACTTCCTGCAGGTCTCTGGTCTCTCAGTGGCTTATACAGTAAGATACGAAAATAAGATATTGGACTGGAGTCTCCTCATGGTGCAGCATTAATTAGCTACTGGAAGAAACTCCAAAAGATTTGGTGTCCTCTTTGAGACTCGTTAAGATTGTTGGTTGTTAGAATTTTTTTTTTTTTTTTTTTTTTTTTTTTAGGAAAAGCATATTAACATTCTGTTCAGGCCTATGAACCTCCCTTTAGTAGAACTGTCGCTGGGTCAAGTTACAGCTCTGCTCATAAAAAATATCTTATACTCTGTCTACAGAGTCCATTACTGCCATGAGCTGAACTAAAAAGGTTCTGAGGCGTGCCACTAGTTTTCACGGATTCCACAGTACTAAATGAGGTATTCCATTGCCACTTTCAGGAGCTGGCATGTGACATACCTCTTCCAAATCCATGGCAGGAATTTGGCCGCTGGAAATACTTTGCTAGCCCAAAGAGTCTCTTGCTATCACAAAGAGAAAGGCAAATTCTTTTCCAAATGATCTGAATTCTTATTTCTTGGGAAAATTTGCTGACAATACATATTCCAAAATGATTTTTGCTCTTTGACTTACAGCTTCAGCTTGTGATCACTTGAATCCCAACAAGGACAGACAGACTGTCCTTTATGCAGTAGGCCTGGGGTGAAGCTAATGCATGAGTGTTGTCACCCACCTGCTTGGAGTCACGGGCGTGATGGGGTCGTGGAGTCCTGTGAGTGGAGGTACGAGTAGCAGGGTGCTGGTGTGAGTTCTGTGATCCAGCAGGCACCGTAGCTCTTCCCCCCCGAAGCATAAATGAGTGGTTCTCATTTGGACTTAGATAACGTAAAATAAAGGCATACAGTTTCCAACTGAACTGGTGACTGGGCACCTTCGGTTTTTGAGAACCTCACTTGAGATACTGTAAACTTGACTTACAGAAAGGGCTGAGAAATATAGCTTCTGAAAACTGACTTATGGTTTCTGTCCTCATCATCTTTCCTTTCTCATCACATGTGTGGCAGTGAATATTGAAACCCCTATTTCTCGGATGTTGTCCGAGAGAATTAAGCCAATAACATCATGGGCATATGTCACTGTTAATAGAAATCTCACTTGTCTGCGAGATTTGAGCTCACGGTCCGTGCTCTGCTTATTACCATCTTTTAACCACCATGCAATTAGTTTGCAGCTAACGAAACTGCATTAGGTAATCTGTATGTCGCTACTGGACCCCAGGCTCTTTCTGGCACCTCAACTGAAAAAGCTCATTTCTGAATACGGTGTGCTTTTTTTATCATATGAATGTAACCGTAGGGATTATTAGGAATGAAGTGTAACAGAGTAGTATACAGTTATTTGATTAGAGGACTTTTGTAACAAACCTATGCATTTACTAAAGGAATTTCTAAAAGCGAAAGTTTTAAATTGCATTATTATTTATATACAGTAAATATATATAAATGTTATAAATCGCTCCACTCACTATTTTGTGAAAATAAATTATTTAGAATGTAAGCGATCATCATTTCTGAGAAGAAAACTTAAAAGCCATTTTCTTTATGATATAACTAAGAGAACTGTGAAAATAAAAGCAATACCATATTAATTTTGTCATCAATAAACTGAATAAATAAGTAATAATGATTTAATAGTAAAATTGGCTTAAAAAAAATAAACTACTGTTAATGAAATAAGTAGAAATTATTGCAAGTATTTACTTGGAAAACACTCACTTAGAAGTTTTTAGGCTGGTAGGATGGCCCGGTTAGTCCTGTGAAGCCGTGTCCGGAGATTTGCACCACAGCTTCCAGTGCCAGCATCTGTGGATCTGGGCATCTGCCTTGTTGCTTGAGTTAGAACCAAATTTGAAGTTCCGTTCTTTGCTGTGGAGTGGAACGTGCGACTGAGTGTAAGGCAGTGAAAGGTTACGTTTTCCTTGATCCTGAGCCAACTAGAGTCAGTGATGAAATTTCCAGTATTTCATGAGGGCAGGGCGGCCCTGCGCGGCGCCGGGCGGTGGGGGGCTGTGCTGCAGGCAGTCAGGGACGGCTGGGAACCTGGAAGCCCAGGAGCCCGTGGTGCTGCTGCTGTGTGCGAGGCACCCAGCGGTGCTGGGGGGTTTCTGCCGTCCTGCCCAGCCCCAGGCTGCGCGTTTTTCTGGCCAGTGGGAGAGCTGCAGAAGTGGGATGGCTGTGAAGAAAGGCCCTGTTAAGCGCATCAGACTTCTTTGGAGTTCTTGAACAAGCAGAATGTAGAAGCTGTGAGATACTAGAAAATAGCCAGTATCATATCCGTGCAATAAGCTTGCTTTAGTTCTGGTTTAATTCATTGTGTCTCCCTGTGATATATTAATGGATGGCTTTTATTTGCATGTCTTATACCAAAGTTTTAATGTCAAGCCTTCAAATTTTGTAAAGAAAAAAAAAACAAAAAAAGGAACTTCCTTACTTAGGCTTTTTTCCAAGTAGTATCCAGCGGTTGGTTATTGTGGGTCGGGTGCTGTAAGGATGCTGAGTAGTCCTGCGAACGTCAGTATTTAAACGTATGAAATGTTTCGCTGTTGCACATCCTGCAGTAGGCCGGTGCAGTGATTGGCAGCCATAATGTCAGGCTTATCCTGTGGGAGGTCAGTAAGTGTTCTAAAATTGGTTGCCATGGCAGTGACTGTAGAAGACTGTCCTCTGTAACATGGAACATCCCTCCGACCGGTTGCTTGTTGCTCAGCCTGGACGCCTGTGCCCTCTGACGAAGTGCCTTACCTGGCTGTTGTTTTACCTGGCTTATATCCTGAAGTTGATTCGCGTCACATAAATGACTCAACAGAAAAGGCTAGCTAGGAGAAGCAGTACTCTCTATTTGAAATTCACTGATATAGAGCTTAACTGTAGGAAAAAAGTCAGATGTATTTGAATTGCATAATGCAACATGCACAATTTTTCTGTTGCTGTTGTCAGATCATGAAAGCATGCCATTTGGCCCAGGAGAAAACACGTGGCAGTTGTGCTGTTGCAAACAGTTAAATAAAAATGATGTCAGAGCATTCAATTTTCAGCGGTAGACTTCTTTATACCTTCGATTTATGGATAGTGGACTTCCACATGTGGCCAATTCTGCCTCCGGTGACAGCGTCCGCGAGCACCGTGCCCTATGGCTGTGGGGAGCATTGGGGCACAGCTGGAGTAAAAGCAGCTGGGAAATGCACGTGGTTCTGCCGCAGCGTGTTGGTCGCTCACGAGCGTAAAGTCATTTCCATTTTAAGACTGATGGTTTGCTATTCTGGAGGTGTTTTATAAACGATTCTAGATTTTTTATCTTTTGATACAGGTGATGATTTTTTGAGGTAATAAGTAATTTGTACTGCGCTGTAATCAAGTGGGAAATACAACTGTTTCTTCATGTTTAGTTAATACTACTAGCACTAATACTGCAGCTGTCTGTTACGTGACGTTACAGAAAGCCCACAGGCATTTGTCCCATAGAACAAGGTGTAAGATCACAGAAAGGCTCTGCAAGGACTGAGAAATGGAAATTACTGTCTGTTTCAATAATAAAGGTGTGTTATTATTGTGCCAAAACCAAGTTAACACGAGCACACGGCAGCTTGAGCTCTAAAACCTGTTTGCTTCTGCTATGCAGAAATAGGAACGTATTGTTTAAACACCTTTGGTAACTGAAGCGTTTAATATTTAATTCTGTTGTTGCTCACTGTTTTACAGCTCTTGGGGATTGTTCTAATAAAGATTTAGATACAAAGCAGAGTGCGTGTGCTCGTGCAGCGCTGTGCGCGGCGCCGGGCCGGGATGGAGGGCGGGGGGGGCGGCCGCTGTGAGGGGAACGCGGGCGGGCGGGGCGGGGCGCGGCTGCTGCTTAACGGCCGGGAGCTGCCGGCGCTGTGGTGGCGGCCCGGGCGCTGGCGGTGCCGTTGTGTTTCTTCGACTGCGTAGGGAACAACCGCGGCTTTTTAGTCGGACCTGTTCAGAAACCTTTTTGCCGGACGAGTTTGTACTAGCCGCAGTCCTGCCCTGTGATTTGGTTTCCGCAGACTCGGCCAAAGCCGTGCTTTCCTCCTGCCCCGTGTTGGCGGGTCGCCGGGCGCTCGGCGCGTGCAGGAGGTGCTGAGGGCTGCAGCTGCGCGGGCGCGTGCCGCGTTCCGTGTCGGCCTTTGCTGTAAGGGGAGGAAGAGGAACAGCATTGCTGCCTGCAGTGCAGTGTTTCCAGGTTGACGGGAGAAATTAAGTTAAAATAATAATAATTTCTTTGAAAAAGTGCTAAAGTGTTTCAGAGGTGAGGACGAATTTCAGCAGAGGCGGCTCAGCAGCGCTGGAGCTGCTGTGCGGACAAAGGCAGAATTCCAGCGGGGTGCCGACAGCCGCAGCAGGCTGCTGTGTGCCGCCGTGCAGCCGAGGGCGCTCTGGCCTCGAGCTGTCGCTGCGATGAAACCACGCAGTAGAGTTTCTGAGTTAACACAAAAACGAGGCGATGCTTGCGGGCATCTGGGCATTGCTGGCACCTTGCAGAGCGGGGCTGTGCTGGCAGGAGGCGTTCGTCTTTCTCTGCAAGTGAGCGAGAACATGGCGACTGGGCAGCAGATTCATGAGTACATAGGAGTTCCTCTCATAGTTGCAGCTTATGTCATTTAAAGCTACGCGTTCGGTGCATAAGGGCTCGCAGCAAGAGATACGGTTGCTTAGAGAGGTAACTGCTGTCAGTTCCAATGGGGCCGTCAGTGGGTCGGTGTTGCGCAGTCCTTGCCAGCCAGAACCTGTGGTGGGTGAGCAGCAGTGCTGGTATGGCACAGCATGCAGCAGTTCCACCCTGCTCTGCTCTGCGACTCTCAGAGGGAAAGAGTGAAATGAAGGTGGTCACAAGGCAAATGCTTACGGAGAAGAGAGTGAGTCTGCCCCACGAGTTTGGATATGCTCAAGTTCAGTTCCAGCTATATAGTAGAAGATGAACTCTAAAAGTCATCCCCTAAAGGACACTGGCTTTTCCTGACCCCAGTTTAGCAGCTGAGCCGACATGGGCAGAGAAGTGAGCCCTGCAGAAAAGGATGACTTCTCTGCTGCTCAGAAGAGGAAAGGACACTGTTGCTTTACAGTAAGTCTACAGTAAGGAAAATGTGCTTATTTTTGGTTAATATTATATCAGATGCAATTTAATCTGTTAAAGCCACGCTACCATTATCTGAGTTCAGGTGATGATGTATAGCCCTGCA